GGTTTACTTCGCCCAGATCACCTGACTTGCCAATTGCTTCGAACAAATCTTTCTTGCTGATAAAATGGTCTTCACCATAATAAACCTGTATCGTCTAATATCATAATAAACCTGATTCTATCTATCCATCTGCTTTTTGTCCTTCTGCGTGGTCTTTCGCTTTCTATTGAGGGATTCATTGTTACGTAGAGACTTCCAGATGGATTGTTACGAATTAAATACTCCGCCCAACTAAAGCTCCGTGCCTTCATATCATGGGATATTCATTGACCAATTTCTGTAAGCAGTTTTTTATTGTTCTTTCTTCTCCATGTGTTAGTACTCTGATCCCAGATCACTCCGGTTATCGTACGGAGGATTTTTCTCTTAAATCTTTCAACATTTTTTTCTAGGGTGCTGGTTATTATTAGAATTATATTAGAACTGGCTTTACCATAGCATTGTACACCCTTAATAATTCGAGATTTTTCGGGATTTCAATACCTGAAATTGAAAGAGAGAAGAAAGATCTGTTAGCGCTAGTTATACTCTGGTCTATTTATGCCCTCAGATCATTCATTGAAGTTACTGTGGAGCCGAGATATTTGAATTTTTCTACTTTTGGGAATGATTTTCCTTCTACTGAGATTCTGTTATTGTGGAGGAATTTTTGACTTATTATCATATATTTGGTTTGTCTTCATTTACTTGCAGGCCGATCTGCTCTGCTTCTCTTATCAGTGTTGTAGCGAGTTTCTCAATGTCCTATTAATTACTTCCAAGGACAGCTATATCATCTGCGTATCCAAGGATTTTATGATTAATTCCGACGTGGACAGCTCCATTCCCCTATGATGTTGTTCTTATTACCTTCTCCAGGGCTAAGGTCTAACAACATCGGTGATAGTCCATATCCTTGCCGTAAGCCCGTTCGAACTTTGAAGGATTCAGATACTTTCCCTTGTATTAGGACTTAATTTTTGATCATTTGTACACGTCTTTGTCAATCTCTCCAACTTACCGGGAATTCCCAGTTCAGTCATGATTTTCCAAAGACAGCTCCTGTCCACAGAATCATAGACGGCTTTGAAATCGAAAAATAGGCCGTGGACGTCCTGAGCTACTTCCTATCGTTTTTAAGTACTTGTTTTAAGATGAAGATTTGGTCCAGCGTGCTCCTCCCTTTTCTGAATCATATATAATCTTACTAAAATTATAAAAGATAAAAAATCTAAACAAAATATGTAGTGTAAACAATCAAATTTTGGTTTTAGCTATACATATATCATTTGATGACCAGAATTTTTTTTAAATTTTATTCTGGTCTTGTTTCTGCAAAAAAGCATATTTCTGAATTTTTCTTATATTATCTTTAATTATAACTACATGGACAATGATTTAACAGTTGAGTATTGAATCTGAAGTAAATAATTTTTATTTCATTTAACTTATTAGAATCAAATAATTAAATAAATCAAATTGTTAAAAAATCACAGAGTACTAAATACTTGTATTCTTAATTTTAATACTTAATACTAAATTTTATAATTTTCGATTCTTTCTACCCTCCACAAAACGTGAAACCTCAAATTTTAGAGTACCACTATCTGCACTTGGAACCTTGTCTCACCACGAAAATGCATTCTAAAATGACAAAGTTCTAACTGCAAAATTTTAATATTCAAAATTATATTAGTAAGTTGTTCAATTAAATCATCGACGAATGTATAAATCATCAAGTTCAAAACTTTTATTGCAAAAGGAATTGTACAATCAAAGTAGTTAGTCTAAACATTAAAATATTCATATTACAGTAAATTGTAGCTTTCAAAATGTTACAAAAATTATTTCTCAAATTGTAGTAAATATAGTTAGAACCTTTTCAAACGAAGGCCACGATATATATTAAGATTATTGATCCTTAATGACTTAACAGTATCGAAATTGTTTTTAACCCATTACCCAAGCGAAATTTTTGATATATATATTCCTATTCTACTATACAATATTCCTTTAAAGATTGCTTGCATAAATAACAATAATTCCATTGTGAGGTATATGAATAAAGTTTATTATGTAGTGCCTGACTAGGGAGAGCCTACTCAGACACTACACCTAGAGGAGTCCACAATACGACTAAGGGATGATTTATAAAAATAAAAATTATGACGTCTTTTTAAAAAAAATTAGATGATAGAAAAATGAGATATGGTCTGAAGATGGGATAATGAAGTGGATCCCGAAACGTCATAAAAATAAAGACAATTTTTTTGGGGAAGGAAAACTGTTACTTAACTTTATTCATATATCTTATATAAATAAACATCTCTCTTACGGCTTATGAACTAATTCCATTATATTATCTTTAAAATGAACGATGTGATTAACAAAGAGAATTGACGGAGACAGGTTTTTCTCAGGGAAGTTCATTTAAGCTGGTTTTGTTGACTTTATTTCCAGACTCGAGGGACCCACTCCATTTCATGGTAAGTGGAAATTATTTCAGGATGTGTGAAAGATGTATGAGCGGACGGTTAAGCTGATATTTCAAAATGAAGAATATATTTTGAAACATTCTCGAGGGAAGTTTTCATTCCACTGCTGCTGGTGTTCTTATCCATTGAAGTTGCGAAACATTAATTTGATGGTTTCCGTTTCACACGCTCACCCCGGCGAATTTACAAGTAATTATAGATAATTATGATTGTACAGTTTGTAAAGAATAAATTGATTTCGGACATTATTCGCATAGATTTTTTTTATTCCAAGTGTCTTAAAATTAATCCCAATTTTCGATATATGGGTTAGATACAGGTGTATATCGGTAATATAAATTTTTATATTTTTTCTACTGTTTCAAATCCTTCTAGAACAATTTGAAATACAATCATTTCTCCTTTTCTTTTATTTTGTTAAAACTAAAAAGAAGCGTTAACATTACAATATGTCTCAACAGGAACATGTGTTCTTGCAAACAATAGTTGGACTAAACACAAGACCGAGTTTACAAATAAGTTTTATGCCTGAAATTATTAAGTGTCCATTTACTTTTTCCAGAGAGTCCATCCATTAAATGGTACATTATTTGATGAAAATTTTCCAAGTACTTTTTATGTTCTATCCAATTAATACATTAAAATTTTTATATCTGCCACCTCTAAGTGTTTGTAATCCAAAATGGCGGCTCCCAAAGGCACCAAGAAAAAACATTTTCGGTTTTCCACGATGAGGATGTTTTGATGATGAGGAATTTTTCGCTATCTTGTATTCATCAATCTCAGAGGTTACAACACTCACTTTATTGTCCGCGAGTTGGAACGAGATTTGACAGAAAAAGAAAAGAAAAACATACTAATTGACGACATTCCTAACTCGGAAGAAAATCACATCTCCTTCGCAATGACAGTGGGCACCTTAACCGTTAGATTTTTTTTTTCTCTTTCCTATCTCGCCTTTTAGGCTATACGGGATTTTTCCGGGACGAATATTGAGGGCGGGGAATTTAAAATTCCCTCTGGCACCGGGACGCGAACTCGCACTTTTCTTCTTCAATCTCAAAACTTGGTTATCTGATTGCCGTTCAACTCGCGGTGCTGTGCACACACGTTAGCCCATTCGGCCACCCCTTATCCTTAACCGTTAGATTTGTGGACTCATTCTATTTTATGGATTCCAGTTTGGATAAGCTGTCCAAGAATTTATCCAGGGATAACTTAAAGAAGACTTCTTCCCCGCTGACCATTTGGATCTCGTGGTCAGAAAAGAAGAGTACCCCTAAGACCTAAAACTACGTGGACTTGTATAGTTTCGTTGATATTACTACTCGTAATTCGCTATTTTCTGGAAAACAATTTTCCAACGCGTTTTTGTCTTTATTTGATTAGCTAACGGTTTATCTTTTGTTCTATGAAACATGTGTCAAAAATAAAGTTCTTAAGCAATACAGTTCAATCAAAAATATTATTTACGTGACGTCGCTGGTAGCTAGAAATGAAAATATTTCCTAAACAACCCAATTAGTTTAGCGGGCTTTATCAGAATCTGAACAGCTCACTTAAAGTGAATAGAAACCGACAAAACTGTTCAAAGGGGTGCATATTTCATTGGTCGCGCTCATTTGCTGATTTTACAATTGTCACACCTTTGTACCAAGCAAAGGCAGATCTATGGGGGCGCCTTTCGAGCTCTTTTGTTTTGTAAGTACCTATAAGAGTGAATATAGAAATGCATGAGAGTTGAAAAAAAAATGCCTATTCATTTATGTTTTCCTTAAACGTTCAATAATGATTATGGTCGAATTTCAACCACTTGGCGAACACCAGTTTTAGTAATTTTACCAACTTTCTATATTCAAGCTAACACAATAATTATAATCATGTCAAATAAAAGAAGCATCCTAATAAAAGAGGAGATATAATGTGACTATTGATGCTCAATTAAGGGGACATAACTACTGGAGTGTTAATTAAACTCAGATAAGAATTTAAATGGCCTCAACAAGTATACACATAGAATAAAGATAATTCATTTCATGTTTATTGAATATGAGATGGGAGAATCATGTTTGTCTAAGAAAAACGTGGAAACTCATTACAGTGAATTCAGATTAAGTTAGGAAATAGTCTTTTAGAAAGTAGATAGTTTTTTTTTTTTTAATAATAAAAACTCCATTTGTTTAGAACCAAATTAAAATGAATAATTGATAAAACAAACTCAAAGTAAATATAATTTTTAGTTGTAGATGGATGGTTGACTGTAGTGAATAATTAAAGAGAAGGATGGTTGGGCTGACCAGTCAAATTTATTAAGTATTAAATTTGATTTAGTATGTGTTAGCTTTTAACGGTGAGAGAAATAGATAAGAGAGAATCCTTACTTGTTTGTAATAGTTTGATGTATAATAATGATTTTTTTTTACAAAAACTTAATCCATTTAGAATATCCCACATTATATGTGCTTTTTCACTGTTTGATAAAATTTACTAAAAATAATTTTAATTTAATAAATATAATTTTAAGCAGTAAAGAAGTACAATATTCCTATATCACAATTTTTATTTTAAATCAAGTATAAATTCACAGAAACATATTTTATAACATACAATTTTTAATTATATACATTTGACATTTAATAATATACCTATACTTCTATATTTAATTACAATTAAACAATCCTAGCACTATCAGTGCACATTTTCACTCATTATTTTACTTTAATGAATGTTTTATCATCTATAATTTTATAAGCATCTTCTCTAAATTTAGATAAATCATCTAATTGACGTTGGCTACTAAAATTATGTAGATCGGCAAAAACTTGAGGTAATGGGTGAAGATTTCCAAGCACAGCTAGTTCAGCATAGTAATCCCCTTGCATTCCACCCATCATATGAAACTGTTTGGTTTTCAAACCCTTTTTCCTTCGTTTATCCATTTCCATCTCCGTGTCAGCTTTCATTTGATTTTTACTAGGCAGAGTGAGCTCTCCAGTAAGGTTCTTCAAGAAGAACCTGACCTGAAATCAACAAATGTTAAAAATGGGTTTATTAGTAATATGTAATTTTATTTTAAATTAATTTAAAATAAGTTATATTTTATACTTTGAAAGCGATTATTGGATTTTAACATTGTGGCTACTATCTTATCATTTATTTTTTTGTATAATCATATAAGACATGAAAATTGATTTATCTTTGATTAAATAATTACTTAAAGATTAAACTAAGTAAATTTAAATTATTTTTAGTAAATAAATATCAAACCTGCAGGTCAAAAAGTGAAAAAGCACACACATAAAATGGCAGTCCAATCAAACATAATGTGGGATATTCTATATGGATTAAGTGTTTGTACAGTGGTTGAACACAGTTTTCTATTACCTTAACACCACATTTCTCAGATAAAAATGGAAAACTGTATTTGTAGCCTAAAAAACAAAAAAAAACAATCATTATTATACAACAAACTATTATAAACAAGTAAAGATTCTCTGTTATCTATTTCTCTCGCCCTTAAAAGCTAACACATACTAAATCAAATTTAAGTATTAAATTTTCAGGAAGATTAATCAATATAATTCTAATCATTCTCCTGGAGCTAGGATTTCCAACAAGATTAATTTTTTTGCCCCTGATTCAGCTCCCAATAAAAGACAACATTAGATACAAATATTTTAAGCAATATATTTTTTAATAAATATCTTCGTTTGACTGAACTGATTCATTTTACTGACTAACTTTAATAAATTTAAAACAATGGAAAGCTGATACAAGAATATAGAATGCTTTTAATGCTCGTAGACGCTTCAGATGTACTAGGCTTGCAGATGACTACCAAGCGTTCAGGGTGCTTTGCAACTTGACACAAACAAGGATCTGGTGTGCGAAATCCCTCTACTTCCATGAAGCCCATTCCTCAACTCCTGACATAAAATCAAAATGGCGACTGCTTCGTAAACTCTCCCTTTGTGATCCTTCCAGATCCCCTATCCCAGTCTTTCCAATATCCCCTGATGATCTAAACTCGCATTTTATATCTGTTACTAATACCTCTCCTTTATCCTCCTGTTCCGGCTTTCCTATAGAGATACCATTTAACGACAATAACTTTTATTTTTCCGACATTTCTCCCACAGACCTTTTAACCGCTGTAATGAAATCCCACACCAATTCCATAGGACCTGATGGCATCCCAGCGACATTCAAACTGTAATAGATGATAAAAAGTTAACTATCCTTATCCTTCTCGACTTCTCCAAAGCCTTCAATTTCATTAACCATTCCATCCTTTTCAACAAAGTGAAATTATTATCCTTCTCCAATAGTTCCATCTCTTGGTTTCAATCTTTCCTTTCACAACGTACCCAAGCAGTCTGAAACCCCTATGCCCAACCAACCACTATCTGCCTTCCTTTCTTTATCCTCTGGAGTTGCCCAGGGTTCAAGCATACCTCCTCTCCTTTTCAGCTCCTACATTAATGACCTGCCTAAATCAATTCTCCATTGTTCCCATCACCTTTATGCAGACCATTCACAGATATACCTATCATTTTTCCCTTCTGAGTTACTGGGGGCATTTGCCAAGATCCAAGAAGACCAAGATCGAATCAGTGCCTGGGCAAATGTAAATGGATTAAGGTTAAATGCTGCCAAAACTCAGGCCATTGTCATTCCTTCCAAGCCCCTTCTTAGATCTCATAAAAACTTTCCCATCCTTCACCTAAATGATCAGCCAATCTCCTTCTACTCCTCTGTTAAAAATTTAGGATTTTTCATTGATCAAAACCTCTTTTGGAATCACCATATTTCTCATATCTCTCGACGGACAATTTCCACCCTCAAACTATTCCATCGCTTCCGCCATCTCCTACCTCAACATACGCGTAGACTCCTAGTTTCCTCTATCATTTTCCTCCACTTTGACTATAGCTGTGTGGTGTATGATGGCCTCTCTGTGGAGCTCTGTGATAGACTGAAAAGACTAATGAACAGCTGCGCAAGATTTGTGATCGGGGCCCCAAGATACTCCCATGTTTCTCACCAATACACTGAGTTAAAGTGGCTTTTCCCCTCCTTCCGAAGACAATATTTCCTAGGTACGTTCCTCTACTAAATCATCAACAACCATCGTCCTTCTTACGCCTACAACCTTCTCCAGTTCAAATCCTCAGTCCATTCCCTGTCCACAAGATCTCGACCTTCTAACCTTTACATGCCTTCTCACAGATCTGCCTCATTCCAAAATTCCTTTATTGTTCACTCTGTCAATTTCTGGAATTCCCTCCCTATCAAAATTCGACATTCCCCATCCATCTCCACATTCAAAACCCCCTATTCCAATTCCTATCCCAAAAACAGTCAGATAGTTGCTAACTATTCGAGCTGATATCAATAGAGAATTTGATACATTTTTATTTTTTAATTCTTTATTATTTTCTTAAAAGTGTATACTGGTCTATCAGTGCAAATAGCTTTAAGTGTCTTGTCATAGTATTAATTGTTTTGTATATAGTTTCGTTTGTTTTGTATATAGAATTTTTACCTTATATTTTTTTTACATTATTTCTTTTTTTCGATTGATTTTATTATGGGCAGATGTAATATTTTAATTTTGTTCTATTTTGTTATTCTCAAGGGACTGTGTCCCAGAATAAAGTTATTTTTCTATTCTATTCTATTCTAAGAATATTTTACTTTGCTAAAATTCATTTTTAATAAAAAAAACATTCACTCTCTGAATTTCATAACCTGGATAAAGTGCTCTCTTTGTCCCTCCTTAATTATTGATTATTAATTTATTATTTATTAATTTTTAAATTTAATTTAAAATTAAAGTATATATAATTTAAGTATAAATTTAATTTAATTGAAGTATAAATTTTGCATAGTGTCATATATTTTTTTGAGTGGTCAGTGTTACAACCACCAAGGGCTGGTATTGTTGTTTGCCAATTATTTCATTAAAATTTGAAGATAGATAAACCACTTTTTTATCATTTTTCAAATATTTTGGCAATAACTGGAAGAACAATGAGAGGTCTTAGGAAACTATGACCATTTTTAGTTATATGAGCAAATTCCTCTTCTTTCCACTGTTTTGGAAACTCTTTTCTGCTGAAATGGCTCACTAAAAAAATAAAAGATCTTCCTGGTTTGAGGCCCTCATTAGGAAATGGGACTCAGAGTGGATTTATTTTAATGACCCTTCAAAAACCATTAAAAAATTTCAAACCCAAATAGTAATGTTTCATGATGTTTATCTACTTCTATATCATGTTTTTCCTAATGTTCAGTTGGATAATTATAATGGATTCCCAGGGAGTTGAGGATTATATTTTCTGCCAACCTTGCCACGTCCTTTATATCTACACCAAGGCCCTCCAGGAAGATCCTTGTTGAGTTTGGTATCATTCCGCAAGCTCCGAACCAAAGGCCTTACATGGAACTCTCTCGGCCCGAAACTCTCGCTGAACTTTTCATTAAGGAAAGGGATACATTTATCATGTTTACTTTTCTTCTCTTTCCATTTTGCCTGCCTGATCGAGGTCATTGGTTTCATATCTCACGGTAGGATCCAAAATCATCGCAAATAAAATTTATAGAATCTATTTACATCACACAATTAACTTGAAAAAAAATCATTAATCTTTAGTATTTTATTAAAATAATATTTTCACCTATATACAATACAATAATAAAAATACAAATAAATTAATTTAATGGCAAAAGATAATATGAATAACATACCTGTACAATAAAATATCATGTCAACTTCCTCTGTTGAACCATCCTCAAATTTAATTTGTTTTCCCTGAACTTCAATTACTTCAAACTTCATTGTAGCATTTTCTGGTAAAACGTCTCTTATCACATCTCCATCTTTATGACGGCTTAAGATTACCTGAAAATAATTTTTTGTCATATAGCAGAATATATCTTGTTATTTATTGTTCATTAGCTAACCTAATTATATATAATATAGAATTACAGATATAGAATAGAGATCTGCAATAATTTTGGACCTTATATTCAAACCAAAATAAACAGAAATTTTACTTAAATAGTTATTCCTAAAACATTCATTGATTCATTTTAATTTTCTTCTGTCCTTCTTTAACTCAATAACTAAATAATAATTATGTTTAACTTAATTTTGAAAAACTGTGTGAAAAAAATTTCATATTGCTTTATTAAACAAATAAAATGACATATCAACTGTATGATAAATTATTACAATTATAAAGATTAATCAATGTTCTATTTTATGAATTAAACATTATATTCAACCTGAATAATATGGTATCAGTAAAAGAACCAATAAAATTATCATATTTAAAAAAATTAAAGATTTCTTTAAATTTATAATTATTAAGAAATAGACAATTGGCCAATTTCATTCAATAGTTGCTATATTAATATTTAATTTAATAATAGAAATGTATACTTACTTTAGAAGCTGTTGAAGCAATTTCAAGTGACAAATCAATTCCTGAAGGACCAGCACCAATCACAACCACTCTTTTACCTAAGAAATTTTCAGGAACTCTATAATCATGGCTGTGCAATTGTTCCCCGGGAAAAGATTCAATTCCTTTAAGTTCTGGATAAATAGGTGTATGATAATGGCTGAAACATTTTTTTTTCATGAGTCAGCATTTGGAAATTCAAAAATAAAAAAAAGAATGTTACCAGCACTAATATCATCCTTTCAAATGAAATGAACCAAAAGTATAATATTTAATACGTACAATTTAGAAATTGGTGACACCGAGCAGAGATCTCGCATCTGCAGCCACGCAGTCTTCCCAGCGAAGTCTGGGGCATCCAACCCGCCTGGTAACATACATTTGCCCAGCTAAGATCTTGTAAGGAACTTCGTTTGGATCCATCCTTATGACGTGACCAGCCCAGCGAAGTCTTGATATCTTTATGAATGTTGATACGTCTATTTCTTTGTACCTCGCTCTTAACTCAGCATTCGTTCTTCTTCTCCATGTACCTCCCTCAAATATACCACAATATATACGGCGAAGCACTTTTCTTTCAAAACAGAGAAGGAGATGCTCAAGGTATTTAGTTGTAGTCCAACATTCTGAGCCATATGTAAGAACTGGTCGTATAATTGTCTTATAAATTCTCACTTTCGAGGCCTTCGACAACACACTACTTCTCAAGAGTTTATGGAGGGAGAAATAGGTGCGGTTTGCGGAGAGGGTCCATCTTTGGATTTCTTCTTCAATGCAGTTATTACGGTTGATCTGGGATCCTAGGTATATGAATGATTCCACTCTTTCAAATCTATGGCAACCTATCGAGACATGACTCCCACCATCCTCGTGGGTAGGTAGGGTGCACATATATTTCTAATAAATTAAAATTATTAGAACAAATTATTTTGAGTTTAGTTTTTGATGTTGGGTGGCATTAGCAGGTTTGATCATTGGAATGATTGTAAAATATGATAAAATGTTCTACATTTTTATCATAAAAAAGCTACTTTTGTAATCAACCATAAACTATGAGTAATGTTTGTTGTTGACAAATGTACAATTAACACTACATGAGTACTTTCAGTATTTATTCAGAACAGAGTGAGGATTGAAAGTACTATGTACTTTTTCCATTTAAAAAAAGGATTCAAATGATGAAAGTAATACTGCTTTTATCTTATTATGTTTTATTATTAATACATATAGGCATAATCATTATTTTTTCTTAACTTTGACTTTTAAAAAATGGTATGAATAAATACTTGAAACCTTAACACCTATTGCTCTTGTGTGTTATAGGGTAACTTGTTAAAAAGTAAAGAACTTCAAATCCGAGCTGTACTTATCAGTCAGTTGTTTATTTTTAAAATCTTGCCTAGTGACTGATAAGAAAGAGCAATAAAATAATATTTCTTAAATATTTTGATTATTGCTGTGATGTGTCATCAGATTGTTCTCTTGATTGTAGTAGCAGATAATAGATTTAATTTTAAACAGTAATTACTATGGAAGGAAAAAAAAATACTGTAAAATTATGTTTAAGTAGCCCTTGAAGGCTTGCAGAAAAAAAAAGTAACTACAGGAATAATGATGCTTTTAGGGATATATATAATTTTTTTCTTGACACCTGCTCATATTTAGGAGCTATAGAAAACATTATAGTTTAGAAGGAGTACATATTGTGAAAGCTTGAATATTTAGCTCCTTAATATATACATCACTCACAGAAACAAATGTGTATCAATGAAAAAATGACATATTTTTTCTCTTTTAGGAGCTTCAGCTTTCCCAAGATCTGCTGGCAATCTATCACATATATGTTTATTGTACCACATTATTTTTGGCTCAAACATTTTTTTTCAAAATCGTGTTTATCCTCTTACACAAAATTCCTTACCAATTCCGTTATAAAACGAAAGTTAGGTTATTGGATTTGATGAAGTTGTAAAGAAACAACGGAAACCACTTACTGGTTCCTGTGGAAACTCGTTCACATTTAATTAGTTTTAATATAATCAGAAAAGTAATATTTCAGTATTATGTAAGAAAAGTAAAGAAATATTTCAGTTGCTAAGTTTAATATTAATAATATTGCACATAAGCTCATCTTAAAATTTATTAATAAGATATAATACATTTAACCTCTCTCTACGTCATTCATAGGAACCTAATCGACGATGTCAGGTATAGATATCGCATTTCGTCGATTAAGTTTAAGTTTATTATCGTCCCGTGGTAACACCACAATTAAGCCTGTGTGGTAAGCATTCATTATCTCGAAAATGGTAAATTTTTAGATTTTAAAACGCAACGCCCAATACTTTCGGAAGTATCCTTACGGGGTCTTGATGTCCACATCAAAATCTTTAAAATCCAATTTGCCTCATCTTATAGGCACCACCCCAGAAAAACCTTGGGAAATACAATTTAGTTTATAACCACGATAATTTGAAAGGTTTCTAAATTACTCTAAAATAATGGAGAGCAAAATTAGCCATTACCAAGGATGCAACTACTTGAAGATATAGACACACAAACCATTTCGCGTGACTTTGTTATTTGGACTTAATGAATCTCAAAACGCGTGTTTCGTTGAAAGCTTGGATTCGAAAATTTTCACGTTTCTAATACTTTTCCTTACTATAAATTTCATACATAGGTAGGTAAAAATGAAAACGGTACGTTGTGATCATCCCACACTTTTTTTCTGATCCTTCATAATTGTATCCTAACTATTACATATATAAGTATAATATATATACATATATTTTCACAAGCATTATCCTAGTACTGCCCTTTGAAAATTGTGGCACGAGGCCTTGTAACATTTATTGAATTGAGAGGAACCGCTCTGCTAGTTCATTATATTTATAATATTTACATATATACAACTATTTACAATTGGATCTGGACTGCAGGGTCCAGCCCCTTCCTTCGGCAGGTACATCAACCAAAGGGAATTTGCCTGGCCACCTCCCAAGCCTGGGTGGTGGGGCGATATCCTGGAATAATTGGTCACCACAAGCCTTCAGCCCATCAAGAAATTGAATGTGCCACCAGCCTATGAACACAGGCCCCGAAGATAGGTGGAACACCTCTTGGATTTTTCTATTATTTGACTTTTAGGATAGTGCCAAGGACAATTCGCCGAAGGACAGAATTCTGGAAGCGCTGCAGATTTTGGATTTCAGTATTATAGAGGTACCGGAGATGGGAAGCGCCAAGGACGAATAATGGCCTTGTAAATTTGCAGCTTGAGTCACAAGAAGAGCTGCGGCCGGTAAGTCTTCTGCAAGTTCATATGAAGGAAATATAAAAATTTTGCCTGGAAGAACAAAATGCCGAATTGTTTATGTTTATGTTGTTTGTGCGCCGTGACGCTGTTGCGACTCATCTGTTCTATCGTGTGGGACTTGAGTTTAGCTAGATGGTGTTTGCAGGCAACACCCACTGGAAACCAGTCTGCTCCGTTGGTATTATGTGCTCTTCCTTGTAGTGCTTCATGAGGTAGTGGAGAATTAGCCTCTCGAAGGTTAAAACCTCTTAAAGGTCCCCTGCCGTATTGGTGGGGCATTTTCCGTCCGCTTAGCATCCTTTGTTCCATAATTTATGGCCAGGAGTTCAGCCTATTACCAGATGTCAGCAGCTCACTCTCCGACGTCAGGTGGACAGTCCTCTTCTTGCTGACGAAGATTTTGATTAGTCTCCACAACTGGCAATGGTCGCGGCAGATTCACACAACATTCGTTTTCCAATCACCTTTGAGTAAAAATAAGTATCTTCATATATTGGGAAGTGAAAGTAAAAGTTATAGATGACACAATATAATCTATTAAAAACAAGCTCTTAAGTCACATTCAATTTTCTTTAAGAATTATATATTTTACTTATTAAATTATAAGGGGACCACGATATTTTTTTTACCATTTTCGACAAAAGTGCCGGTGCTAACGTAGGCGACAATTTTTATTTATAGTTCATTGCAGGTAGTTTATTTGATTAAGTATAGGTATATACACAAATATTAATTTTCATATTGCCCTCATCTATAGAACTAAATATTAATACAGAGCTATAGTTATGAAAACCACATATGTGTTTATAACTAGCATATTAAACTTTTTTTTTACCGGACATATATTTTAATAAATCTTACTAAATTACCCTCGTCTTATCTATATAACACAAATTACGCAGACGATACATCTTGGAGCCCTCCTAATCTCTTGGCCAAACTCGAGCGCGCTGGGGAGTCTGTTGGTCGTTAGTTCTCGACACCAACTTACCTATCCTTATTATAAAACAAAAAAATCTTTAGAGGAATAAATTTTGACAGCTACCTAATATTATATATATAAGTAGTAAGTAAAAGTAAAAATAAATTTATCCTTCCCATAATAGGCATAGTGCATTTACTTATTTCCATATTGTATTCCTACTTGAGCGCTGACCTGCATACTGTGCGAATTTTACGCAATGGTCAACTAATGGCAATAAATTCAAAAATAAGAAAAATCAATATTTAGTTATATAAGCTAGACCACCGATAATCTGCTATCGTAGAGATTACGAATTATCTACTGGATGTTATCACTAAAAAAAATAATATTGATGCACTTACATAATATATGAGTAGTATGTATATCAGTTACAAATTGTAGTTTACAATATTTAATAATTTCAATAAAATATTCAAAAGTTTTAATTTAAATTTATACTCCTGATGAAGTGTTCATATATTATTTATTATTTTATTTACACCCTACCCTGCCGATAAGGCAATACGGGTGTTATGCAGTAGTGAGTAGCAACGCATGCGTTACAATTCACTACTGCATTCAGACCAATTACATTTTTTACAGCTGTGCACACAGCCTGCTCTTTTTTTTCTTTTTATCCAGCATCCTGTTCCACCCTCTCTGGCAGTCTTCCGTATACATGTTCAATTCTTCTTCCCAATGAAAAGTGGTTTGACCCAACCAGTTCCTTCCACCCGTATACGAATGCCTTGTAATACGGGTATTTTTCCTTTGTCATAAGTTGAGGGAGATCGCTCTCCGTCAGAGCGTAGAGCCCCGTCTCCCTCAACAACTTAGCCCTCAGTGCCTCAAAGGCGGTACAGACTAGGATGATATGCTCGGCGGTCTCCGGCACTCTGCAACTTGGGCATAGGGGATCGATGTTCTTGCCATATTCAACGAGCTTTGCTGGGAAACCCCCATGCCCTGTGAGGAACTGTGAGACCCAGTAGTCCGGGAGAACCCATGTTTGTTCCATTCTTGAACCAACAGTGGGGAAGTATTTTCTTAGCGTAGCCCCTTTTGGCGTCGTCACCCACCGCTGGTTCCATTCCTTTAATGTGTTCTCCCGAAGAATCCTATTCCATCCATTAGGGTCTTCACTGATCCTCACACGAAGATTCGCCGGTAGATCCACCAGGCCTTCTCTCTTCATCTTATGCCGGAAGTATTCTTCTCGTAGGAGAAGATCAATAGGAGTAGTTCCGGCTAAGACTTGTACCGCCTCATGAGACACTGAACGGTACGCTCTAGTGACCCGCAGCAGAGCCATCCGCTGGATTGTTGCCAACCTTTTCTTCTGTTGGTGCGAGAGATGATGACTCCACGCAGGGGACGCATATCTCAGAATGCCCAGAATAACTCCTTTATAAATAGTCAACGTGGCTGGGTACCTGAGACCCCAAAAGGCGCCCCCGATGCGACTAAGTCCATTGAGAGCCAGGGCCACCCTACTTTTCATGTAGTCCAAGTGAGGCGTAACGTTGAAATTTCTCCCAATTCTTACGCCAAGGTATGTAACAGCCTCACTTGGACGTATCCTTTCTCCTTCTATTCTGAGAGTAATAGGGTGGGCCCTGTCAGTCTTACCTCTTAAAAGAATGGACTGGGTCTTAGCAGCCGCCATCTTCATCTTTTTTCTCTCACACCATCCTCCTACGAGGTTGGCACATCGTTCAGCTTCTTCTTTTAACCTGGCTCTGCTGTTTGAGGCCACTACAACGGCTAGATCATCAACATAGGCCGTGGCGGGGAACCGCTCCTGTTCTAGTACCCCCAGCAACTCATCGAAGACTAATTTCCACAGGGCTGGTCCAAGAACCGAGCCCTGCGGACAACCTCTTTCCATCGACTCTTGTACTTCAAAGAAGCTACCTTTTATCTTCAATGTTCGGTCCTGGAGGTAGCTCCTTAAAAGATCATATAAGTTGCTGGGAGCCTCATACTTCTGCAACTGCTGGAGTACGCTCGGCCACCAGACGCTATCAAAGGCGGAAGATATGTCGAACAGGATAAGCATGACATACTTCTCCGCCTTCTCTTCAACGTCACGGCGCACTCTCAGCAGGGCATCTGCGGTTCCCCTGCCTTTAGTGGATCCGTACTGCCGTGGATGGCTAGCCCTAGAGAAGACTGGTCGTAGACTCATCATCAACAGGGTCTCCAATAATTTACTCATGATAGGGAGGAGGCATATAGGCCTATAAGATTTGGCTAATTGCTTGTCCTTGCCTCCTCCCTTGTAGAGGAGTCTAACATCAGCAATTTTCCAACTCTTAGGAAAGTATCCCCTGTCTAGACAATCATTGAATAATGTCAACAGTCTCTGTTCAATATAGGGGATACTGTTCCTGAGGATCGCTGCGTCAATGGAGTCTAACCCAGGTGCACGTCCAGTCTTTTGCCTATCCACAGCAGCACGTAGATCCCATATGTCCCACGGTGGGCACAAGTCCGTACCAGGTGGGCATACCGTAGTGCGTCTTATAAATATTTCCTCTTCATTATCCTGGGACGAATCATCTCTGGGGTAGGTCTCAGCTAGGAACATCTTTGCAGTCTCTTCCAGAGTGGTTGCCTGGGAACATCCGCGCCTCAAAGCTGCAATCACTTGCTGTGGAGCAAACTTACCAAGGGCCACTCTGTAAGGTACACCCCAGGGATTCTTAGATGACTCTTGAACAATGAATTCGTCCCAAGACTTCCGCTTTCTTAACCGCACCTCGTTTCGGTATGCCCTGGCTTTAGACTTGTACTCATCACGAAGTGTAATGCGCCTCTCTTCGCAAGTACACTTCTGGTATGAACGCCGTGCCTTGTAGAGTTCTCTCTTCATAGTGGTTAAGGCAGGCGTCCACCATGGGACAGGTCGAGCTCTCGCCTTCCGGTGCTGAAGGGATTCTTCAGCGGTATCGCGGATGACATCAGTGATCCTGGATACTCGGTAATCCAGATCATCTGTTTGCTCCGTTTCCGCCTCATCCCAGTCTTCGTCGACCAGTTTTCCCTCCAGCAATGACCGGAAGGCACTCCAATTTCCTTTTCGAGTAAGGTAACCTTTTTCTATTCCGAGGGAAACTTCTGTATTTTCCGTCAGCCTAAAGGCTATCGCTTGGTGGTCGGAACTCGTTTCAGATCGGAGGACCCAATCGATAATGCGGTTTGCCAGCACCGGTGATACCAAGGTAACATCAATCCAGCTCTGCCCCCTAGCGCTAGAGAACGTCGGGGTAGCAGAGGGATCGTTCATAACCACTAGATGGTTTCGGGCAATAAATTCACCGAGCTTAGCGCCCCTTCTATTAGTTCGATTAGATCCCCAGACCGTGTTCCAGGAGTTGGTATCTGAGCATATGATCACGTTCCTGGTGCAAGCCGTGATCATCTCCATGGCGGATATGTCTTCGTCAATATCGCCCCCGTCCGGTAAATATGATGAGACCAGCGTAAAGGCAACATGGTTCCATCTGATATGACAAGCAACACAATCCGCCATGGTAAACTGCCTCAGATCCATCACATCGAGGTTGGGGTTGTTAACCACAATAGCAGCCCTGGGCCTCCTCTCTCCACTGCTCAAGGCTATAACCCTCGATGTGAGACCAAACCCCGTGACCTTGTTTCCCCAGCAACTCGGTTCCTGGACTGCCATGATGTCGTAGCTTTGTGAGAGGGAGCGTAGCTCTTCCGCAACTAGACGCCGGCGGCCCATATTGAGCTGAAGGATGGAGATCTTATTCATAAGAAGTCCTCATCGCCATTTTTTGTGACCAATTTAAATGCACAGGACAATCACGACTGCCCGCCTTATGCTTAGTGTGTCTCGGATGGGCCTTTGCCCTCACACAGTTGATGCATGTCGGCCCTGCCTGAGCTAGTTTTTTGGGGCACTCCTTGAGAAAATGACCAGTACCTGCACACCAGATGCAGACCAGTGCATCTGTTGGACATGTGGCCTTAGAGTGCCCGTAGTCCTGACACTTGGTACAACGGGGGGCGTCGAGGTTATCTTCAAAGGTCATTGACCACCATCCTCCATTCAAGCTTGCCATGTCTAATAGATGGAATCGTAGGGTTGGGTGCACTTCCAGCACCCAGTTTTTAGTTATTCCATTCCTTGCTGTAGATGAGAAAACAGGCCGAAGTCCATCGTTCACGAGCGAAGCTGGGATCGATTTATCAATTAGCTTTGCCCGTAAAAGCGTAATTAATGCCTCCGCAGTCCACGAATTGGGCACACCTTTAATTTCAAGCCTAGGTCGTTTCTTAAGTGCAAGCTTGGCCTCTAGTCCTACTTCTCGTAGACCCTGCCACCCAATAACTTTCGCCGCTTGGGAGCTATCTTCCATCCGAACTAAGACCGAGCCTCCCTTAGTAGCACGTACTATGGAGGCATTAACTCCTATTTCAGTAGGAGATGGCAGCCCACTGATGATTTCCACGGGACTTTTACCGGGCCCACTAATTGTGACGTAGGTGGGTTTAGAGTTAGATATCTCTGCCGGCTTCAATGGCAGAGATTTTACAATATCTGCCATTGTCCGTGGCTTACTTTGTAATTGGGCTGAATCTTCAGGAGAGACATGACTGGTCGGCTCAATCAGGTTATTTAAATTACTAGCTGCCTTGTTAGCTGCTTTGGTCCTCCTGCGGCTTCTTTTACTGACTACGACTTTGTAGGGTTCAGTAGCCGCTGAGGGTCCAGCCGGGCTTGCTTCTCTGATATCTGCTTGCGCTTCACTTGAGTGACCGGCTTTGGCTAAGATTTGTGGTTGTGGTTCCACTCGAGCTGCCGTTAGTCCCTCAATAATTTTGGGCACCGTTTTTTCTATTACAAGTCGAGCAATCATCTCATGAATACTAGGAGTCTTAAGTGACTCATGAACCGCTTTTTGGATGAGCTCAGAAACGTCTTCATTTGTGTGTGCCTTTTTACTTTTGTCGTCTAGGGTTTCAATGATATCTATCAAGGTTAGAATTTTTCTATTTATATAATTTTGTACCTTGATATTCAACCCATTATCTGCCCGTTGAACATAAACCCTAAGATTCTCCTGGATTTGTAAGGCCGATTGTAGTAAACTTTTAGCTGCAGCCTCCTCCGAGTTTGCCTCCAAATCAAGAGAACCCTTTCTTGCCCGTTTGGCATTTCGCTTGGAAACCTTTTGGGAACTCTCCTCTTCCATATCAATAACAATTGGGTCAACCATACTGTAAGAAACTAGTAAACACTACAAATGATTTCAGTTTATAGTACACTACAGTTTAGAGGTTAACTAACTACGTTTATTAAATGAAAGTTACCTTTCTATTTATGTCCAATGAAACTTGTATACAAGTTCTCTGTTATAAGTTTTAGCTCCCGTAGGAACGATTAAAGTCCAGAAAGTCTTCAACTACGAGAAGATTACGAACTCGTAGTTCCACTTAACCTTACTTAAAACTAAAAACTTATTTACAAAAGAAAACTCAAAAAAAAAGAACAAGAAAACATAATGAACAGTAAATTGGAAAACACTAGAACACGAACAATAACAAAATAAGTATATATACACCAGTCACAAGTCTAAACACAATACTTTGGAGAACCAATACGTTATCACCAATCACTATCACAATAACCGAAGTGTTCATATAATAAAACTTACCCATTGCATACCATAATAGCATCAAAGACGGAAGTAATTTCTTCTTGCTTAGGAAGATCGATTACAGTGACTTCCCACTGATCATTTCCTGTCGGCTCAACGAGCTTGACATGATGTAGAAACTGGAAAACAAACCAAAGCTTTTTAAATAAATATAATTATTTATATCGAAGTATTTTATGCTTTGTACAAATGTTTTTTATTGGTTAAGAACTACTTTACTAATAATTGTTTTGGGGTAAACCATACCTCTTCTTTTGGGATGAAGTATGACAACAGGTAGAGTATTCTTTGTAAGACTAAAGAATATGGAGAAAAACAGCTTGTCTATGAGATGAATTGTAATAAATCGGCGTTTTAACCATTTCAAATAAATAGTTCGAACCATTTAAAATCTATTGTAATAGACATGGACAAGTTAGCTAATTAATTTCATTTATTCATCTACAAAAATCTATTTCTCACAAGATGGGTGGGTTTTTTCACCTACCTAATGAATGATAACTTAATCAGTTATTCCCCATTAATTAATGAGCCTGTGGAGTATTATTGAGAAGATTAACTAAAACATTGAAAAGATATACCCAAATTGAAAAGGATACCCTAGTAATTTTATTTGAAGTACAACTTTATGAAAAATACATTTTTATAAATAATAATGGAATCTAACCAAGAGCTGTTAGCACAGGCGGATTTACGGGCGGGAGGAGGGGGCTTTCGGGTTGAAGCCCCCTTCCCCCCAAAATGGTAAAATGTAACCATGTTTTATGGTAAAAAATATTAAAAAATTATGTCTTAAAGTATTATTGCTCGTTTAATTACATTCAAAAGGACTTTAGGAATCACTTAAAAACCCTTTTCAGATAGGTACTTAGTTTCTTTCTGTTTTCCAATGTAATTATCGTTATATATATGAAAAAAAAAAGCTTCCAGGCTGAAACCCTTCCCAAAATTAAATCCTGGATTCGCTAGTGGCTCTTAGGAAGAATATATAAGAAGAGCTTGAGTAAAGCTCTAAAATTATTTTTTTAAATTCTTCTAAAGTTTATCGCGTTCATTACTCGATTGATTCGACCGATCATGACAATTAACCAGATTGTGTAAGAGACCTTTAGGATAGTCTCAAGACTGTAATGAACTATTTAAAAAAATTATCCACTTATGACTTAAGTTATCCGAAACATTCAATTTTTTTTTTATCTGGAAGAGTAAATAACCGAAAATATTTTTCTGACGAAGCATTTCCTCTGTAAGCTATATCATCACAATATTACTATGTAATTTTTTTTCGTACTACTAATCACTTTTCTTTCAATTTTTAGAACAATTGTAAATTTTAGTGCCCAAGTCTGTGATCTAACAATTTTTTTTTCAACTAAATAAGCAAATCATACATATTCAATTATCAAATTTTTACTTAAGAGATATTTAGATTTGCTAGCTCTTGGACTTAAAGGTTCTATCACAAGTTCTATAAGTTATAACATAAAATACATCATTACCTTGACATGCTGTAGGATATCAAATCGTTTTGCGTAGTCATTCAAGAAACCTAAGATTTCACTGGCTTTCAGGTAAGATCTGTCCTCAGGGACATCAGGGATAGGAAAATCCGGATAGCCCATAATCTCTTTCGGCAAATTAGTCCTGTAATCATAATTGATATATCAACGATTTATTGAAAAAAGGTCAGAAAGTATATAAAGTATTTGCTGGGCATGAATTTTCACGTGTTATTTGTAAATTTCGATCATATTTATCAATGCTAAAGATCATAAAGTGCAATAAATAACAATAACCCTAAAATAACTACACTGAGTGCACACGTTACATAATGTGTTGGGAAAAATGAACATGCTTCAATTTACATTTAGTTTGTTGTCTGTCAAAAAATATCATAAGCCCTCATACTCATACTAGGTGGGAGAGATTTGTAAATTGTTAATAAAAACGATGTGTTTTTAACAGAATTGTGAAATATTGTAAATTTTATTAATACCAATTAAATATTTTAAAATATATAATACAATATTTTCTGTTGCTTCCTTATTGCCGAAGGAATGAAAGCTTTTCATTCATGTTACAAATATTTTTGTAATTCGAATCGAAAATTTCCAATCGCATATTACGTTTTTGACACCAAAGGACAAATTTGGTTCAGTATCTGTCTATCTTGTCAAATCTATTGAACAGGAATAACACTTATTCTAAGCCAATTGCGACGAAATTTTCAAATATAATTTTTGTGTCGATTGATACCTGAAGGACGTATCTAAGAAATATTCACTCATCAATTTCATTAGTTACTTTTGCGTATATATTTCTTAATAGCGCCTATATTTTGAAATCGGCTCGTTACATTTGGATTAATGTTATGAATTGGCGAACAAATTTTTATTTAGTTATCAATCATATTGAATTCTAACGACTGCTTTAGCATAAGTATGCGTGAACGTATTTACATTAATTTTTCAAAACTGGTTCGTTTGATCAAGCCCAAAGTTGAATTAAAGTTAGGGAGAATTAAAAAAAAAAATATCGAGTATTATATCGATTGCGAAAACATATTTTCCTTTAGAAGCTTTTATTTCGAAGCTAGCAAATCCGAATTGCTAATTTGTCTAATGTTGGAGGAATTTTTACAGATGTAGTTGTATCAATGTTATCAAATCCCAATTAATGATCGAAACTATAATGCCATTGTTAATAATACAATATTTGCCATGCTAATTATGGAATATAATACGAAAATAATTATAATTCCACTTTCAACTGCTGAGGTTTTGGAAGGGCTGGTTGTGGAAAGGAGCCATCTTGTACAGTATGGCAAAATCTATTATTTTAGACTCATTAAGAATCCTGCACCATCATCTGTATTAATTCTGGACACTTCGTTAAGAGCTTTATGGACAGCTGTGAGAAGGAAGAAAATATGGAGAAAATTATATTAATGAATAAATAAATTATAACATTCGGTACTTTGGTTGTTAGTCCCACAAAACTTAATCCTTTTTGTTTTCCCTCAGTATATATTGACTATTGGGGCTGATCGGTATGCTTGGTCATTTAGCAACTCCACTTATTTAGCAGCTGTGCAATGTTATTATACAAAACATTCACAAAAAATAATAAACTATCAAAAGTTTATTTTTTAATTTTGTCTATTTTCTTTTAAACTAACGTTATGGCAAAGCAGCTTATATAGGTTTTTGAACTTCATACAATTTATCTTACTTTTTTCATTAGAAAAATCTATTTACATTTCAAATTAAATTATAATCTTAGTGAAGATATGTTTATATGTCCATGGAAAGTATATGTCCATATTTGTTATATTTTAGATTCCATTACATGCAGACACTACAGTGTATTAAAAGATAGTAATGCAAAAGATGTTAAAGAATGAAATATTTTTTCAGAAATATGTATAAAGAAAACAATTTGAAAAGTAAATTTGTTTTTCTTATTTACTCAATAGAACTGATAAGAAAGTAAAACGGACCTACTTCCCAGACCTGATTTATTATTTGGAGGGGGGATTTTGATACTATTATTTATTTAAAAACTACCTGATGAATTTTTATCTCGAATTAAAGTTTCGGTATGCAGTATGGACCGAAACTAAGGTTTTGGCCTGGAGAAACAAGCTTAATTAAATTCAACAATATACAAAATGGTTAATCAATCTGCAAAAGACCTATGTAACGATTTTTGAGCGAACGCCTGGATCGATTTTTAGTTTTGATATCTTAAATTATTATTCTGAGATCCCATGAGGGTCTTGAAACAGTTCGTGCTAAAAATACTAGCCCGCGATATAATGAAATGTGTTTAATAATTTACTAAAATGGTATGTATTTTTTTTATTTTTTTATCGGACGTCTGGCCGCTAAAAAAACGTCTGGGCCGATTTTTATGTTTGATATCTTAAATTATTCGGTGAGATTCAGTGAGTGTCTTAAAACATTTTGGGTACAAAACACAAACAAATTATCGTATAAAACCTTTTCTAATCAATTTATTAAAATGTATTTAACGATTTTTGAGCGAATAGCTGAATAGATTTTCAAGTTTGTTGGCTCAAATTAATCGGTGAAATTAAATATATCATCAGATCTAGATTTATTTGACTACAGTAAATGAATACTATAACTACAGTAAGTGACATTTGATAGTCTCAACTAACTAAGAACTTTAGACAATTTCCCCTTTATGAGATCAGAAAAATGTGCGCTTGTTATAACTATATTTGATTTATAAAAGGTTTCGTTTCATTTTCATGCCCTTAGAGAGTTTTTACGTCGATGAATAAAGTCGAAATTTATAGAAACATTTTTGAAACCAGTATCAAAAATGCACTTGGCGACTTTTTGCAATAAACCGACGATATATTTTACATATTTATGATATTTTTGTATTTCATCAACTTTTCTTTCACACGAGTGAAATGAAATATTATTTCCTGTTTTTAAACAATGTCATTGCCTTGATTCGGTGTGTTTTATATCTTTTTTTTTTCAAACTTAAAAATAATTTTAAAAGTTTATCATCAAAAGTTCAAAAACCCGCCAAATTTTCCCTTCTCAAAAATGTTGACGGCGAAACTTTCGCCATCAAACCTCTGCCAGCAATCGATCAAAATGTTTTTAAGTAGATATAGAAAAACGTATCAATAGGATAGACAGGATTATCCGATTTATGTCTTTTTTTTTTTCAATCAACTTTTGAACTCTTATCTTAAAATTAATTATATAATAAAACATACATATATACATTTACATATACAAATATTACATATATGGCAAAAATTATAACATAAAAATAAATAAATAAACATCAACCGCTAAGCAGAAATATAAAATAAAAAGTATAGGAGTGACAAATAAAAAATCAGTTTTAATCAAGCGAGATAACTTTTTTTGATAGAGATAATGAAACAAATAACTTAAATTAGATAATAATTCCATGCCTACGCTATATACATTTATCTTTGATCAGCATCATTGATTACTCCTAACAAAAATATTTCAAATTTTTGTTTGATATGAAATGAACATCTTGTTGTTATAGCTAATAGCTCTACAACCTTGTCATGAAAAGGGGAGTATAAGTTACATCGAATGGGAGTAAAAGGTTTCTTTTTTTTTTCTTGTATGAGATGCAAAATCCAAGTTTCCGACCACGGCGCCCCTACCCCGGATCAAGTTTTAAAACCCCTAAAACTACTGTTTTCGGTTTTTCCCCATTTTTACCACGAAGGAGCACGTTTTCGACAAAAAACATTCTATACAGTTTATACAGTTTTACACTATATTAAATATGGTACAATTTAAGACCAAAACAGGTTCGGCAAGTTCAATCATTTTTGAGATACAGGCTTTCAAACTTTAAACTATTTATTCTGTTTGACCTTATGAACTTGTCAAAATATTTTCAATAAACTTTCTTATATGATTCAGTGAAGTAAATTATTATTCATTTTAACAATTTGAAGGCGATGTGAGGTAGGAGAGGAGGTTTGGTGGGAGAGATCACCAGAAGACTGAAATTGAAATAAAAAAATTATTTAACCAACAAATTATCAAGTGCATACAAAAATTGTAAATGAAGTGGACGAGTGTGGGCGGGGTGGCCGAACGGACTAATGTGTGTGCACAGCACCGCCGTTGTCCGGCAACCTGATATATGAGATAATGGATTTAAAATAGTCACGAATCCGCGTCCCGGGGCCGGGGAGTCTTTTAAATTCCCGCCCACACACCCTGGCCCAGGAAAACCCCGTATAGCCTTAAAGACGAGGAAGGGGAGGAGCCAAAAAAAAAATGAAGTGAATGAAATTTTCGAAACTTGAAAATGTTAAGCTAATATCATGTTTATGTCTTCAATAACCTGCCTTATAAAAGTCAGTGAAGTAAACATTTATTTTATTTATTATTTTGAAGAAGTAGAATACCTGGAAATAATAATGACTATAAATAATAAGAGCTATAAATAATTGATAAAAAAAGTGAGCAATGTGAATGACCTGAGTCATTTATTGTATTCGATCTTTTTGGTAGGCGCCAAAGCTAGTGTCACTTTTTTTTTTTTTTTTTAATCTATTTATTGAATAATAATACATGCAGCCACTGCTGGAGGGCTATAAGCATTAGGGCTAAAAGTTCTCATTCATACAATATATACAAATAATAAAGAAATAAATATAAATATAAGAAGTAAATAAATAATACTGATGAAGAAGATAAATAAAAAGAAAAGAAAAAATAATAATAATAAACAAATAAAATAAAATAAAAACTTCTAAACACAATCATAACTATATACAATATATACATTCGCCCAAGAATCTCCGAACCAGGCTTTTTCCCCCACACGTGGAAGGCAAAGCAAGACTCCGGAAGATCCCAGCGCCACTTTTCCAGCCGCATCACTAGTATTAGAAGCCAGTGGAGACTGGAAGAGGGCACTAGAGCCACAGACGCTCAGGACATGAGTGGAGAAGCTGGCCATTGCCAGGACTCCAAAGGCATATTTACAAAAGATCTCGAGGCCACTGCCGTTTCAACCTTCGAGGGGGATGGTATGGATGCTCGGAGCTGGATAGGGATTGGGCTAGAGGATTGGGATGATGTATGAGGTTCTGGTGA